TTATATAATCGCGATTCATTCGATTTTAAAATATTAAATCGATTATTGACTGAAACAAACGATTCACGATTCAAAAATCCATGTTTCAAGATCGATGCATATGCATGCGATTTGTAATCGATGCATTGAGAAAATGAATGAATCGTTACACCCCTAGTTGGCAGGTTTTGCTGCCAAGCTGGCACCTGTTTTCAGGGGTCCTTACAGGGTTGTGAAAAAGGTTTCCGAGGTAAATTATAAATTGGTTTCCTTGCATGATGGGAAGGATGCAGGAGTGTTCCACGTGGCAAACATGTGCCCTCTTCACACCTGGGAGTCAGTAATTTCTGGAAATCGTAAGGAATTACAAGCATCTGATTTGCTTTCTGATGTAAACGCCATGGGCTGCGATAATGTTTGTGACCTTTTGGAGAATGTGACTTTTTCTGCCCCACTGGTTACAAGCAAGGCGGAAGGACTAAATGTGTCTTCCACCGATTGTGAGGAGGTTGAGACCTCTGTTAATGTGGATGCGATTCCCCCTCACAATCTAGAGAGTGTCACAAGGAACTCAGATATCTGTGCTGATCGTTTCATCCCTGAGGTTGATGATGCGGACAGTATGGGTGATATTATATTTGCTGTCTCAGTGTCCTATAGGTGAGAGGGAAGGGACTGTTCCCCTTGACCCGTTGGAGGGTCACACCTTTTCCCCAAATCTGACTTCGACTGGGACACATGCTTATGACCATAGGGTAAGAACAGTGCCTAGAATTATATCACAATGGGCACAAACTCACTGGACTGATCCGTTCCACACCCAAAGGAGAGAGATTGACTATTTTTTTTAATTTCCCTTTATTTTATTTATTTATTTTTCCTCTTTCCTCAAATGTCAGGTTGTGAAGGTTCCAAGACATATTTTTTTTGTTTTGTCATGTTTTTGCTGTACTATATTAAAGTAGTGACAATGTAATTTGATGGTTTTTGTTTTGTTATTAGATGGTTCTGATGTCTGAATGGTCGAAATGTATTTGGTGCATATACTTTGTATCTGAAGATCTGTTTGGTGAGATGTTACGTTTTTTTTTTTTTGGATTATTTGGACGCACTGTAATGTATGATGGTGTGCTTACCCTGTCATCATGTATGATATTGCTTTTCCCTGATGTTTTTTTAAAAAAATATTTTACTCCTTTTTATGTATAGGAGGGTGTTTTTTTTGTGCTTGGGTTGATTTATTGGGTTGATTTATTGTGAGTTATTGTGGTGGTTAGGCTGAAACCATGTATGGTTTCCTCATGTCGTGGTGCCTTTTGGCTTGGTGATCTCCCCCTGTATTTTCTTTCGCCCATTGGCATGTTTCTGTATGTCATGTTTTTTTTTTTTTGTTTCTCGGGCTGAGGACAGGCCTTTTTCTTATCGGGGGGGAATATGTGATGAACATGATGACGTAGGGGTTACGTGAGAGAGAGGGGAGAGGAAATGGAAGATGGAAAAGAAGCCACGTGTGTACGGTGCTCTGTGCGTTAAACCGATCTCGCTGATGGTTCCCTGAAACTGTGTCCGTTCTTTTATTTATGTAATACGGACACCTCCGTGACGACCCTGCCGGGTAGTGTGTGATGCTGAAATAGTCTTTACGGAGCAGGATAAGTTTGTTTGTTGTTGTTTGCATTAATAATAATAACAATAATAATAATATATTTTATTTGTAATGCACTTTACATTTGAAGCAAATCTCAAAGTGCTACAAAATAAAAATGTCATCATTAAAACTACATAAATCTCCTTTAAAGAATGCCATTGTAATACAAATGTACACATATTATTGTGTATTACATACAGTGGGTTAAATTATTATTTGATCCCCTGCTAAACTTGTAATTTGCCTAATTACAAATAAATTAACGCTTTGTAATTTTTTAGGTAGGTTTATTTTAATGGAGAAAGACAGAATATCAACCAATGGATGGATGGAAGGATGTTCTAGTGTTTCGGCAGTTTTTGTATTTTTTATTTAAAAAGAAAACCACATAACAGTAAAACTAAATCTTGAGAAAACTAAATTCCTTACTATGTTATTGCCAATAAACTCAACACATTCCATAGCTGCTGATCCTTTACACAAAACTTTCAGCTTGTGCATGTTTTTCAAATGTCTTGGCTGATCTGTGGAGAACACAAAATAATATATGGTGGATTTAAAAAAAAAATACAAAATAATAAATCAATGACACAATTGATGAAAAGATAGGATTAAAAGTTCACATATAAACCATTATTTAAATGAATACCGAGATCTGCATTGCAGGCCTAAGACCCAGGGTAGACAGTTTGTGCTTAATCTTCTGTTTCTTAAATTCCATGTGGAATGAGGACTTACACCGAAGGTTGACTTCAAGTTCTGCTACGTGTGCAAGATAAAATAGACAAAAGCAGGTTACAAAATCTGAGCCACGATTCTATCCATCTACACTCACCTAAAGGATTATTAGGAACACCTGTTCAATTTCTCATTAATGCAATTATCTAATCAACCAATCACATGGCAGTTGCTTCAATGCATTTAGGAGTGTGGTCCTGGTCAAGACAATCTCCTGAACTCCAAACTGAATGTCAGAATGGAAAAGAAAGGTGATTTAAGCAATTTTGAGCGTGGCATGGTTGTTGGTGCCAGACGGGCCGGTTTGAGTATTTCACAATCTGCTCAGTTACTGGGATTTTCACGCACAACCATTTCTAGGGTTTACAAAGAATGGTGTGCAAAGGGAAAAACATCCAGTATGCGGCAGTCCTGTGGGCGAAAATGCCTTGTTGATGCTAGAGGTCAGAGGAGAATGGCCCGACTGATTCAAGCTGATAGAAGAGCAACTTTGACTGAAATAACCACTCGTTACAACCGAGGTATGCAGCAAAGCATTTGTGAAGCCACAACACGCACAACCTTGAGGCGGATGGGCTACAACAGCAGAAGACCCCACCGGGTACCACTCATCTCCACTACAAATAGGAAAAAGAGGCTACAATTTGCACGAGCTCACCCAAATTGGACAGTTGAAGACTGGAAAAATGTTGCCTGGTCTGATGAGTCTCGATTTCTGTTGAGACATTCAAATGATCAGAATTTGGCGTAAACAGAATGAGAACATGGATCCATCATGCCTTGTTACCTCTGTGCAGGCTGGTGGTGGTGGTGTAATGGTGTGGGGGATGTTTTCTTGGCACACTTTAGGCCCCTTAGTGCCAATTAGGCATCGTTTAAATGCGACGGCCTACCTGAGCATTGTTTCTGACCATGTCCATCCCTTTATGACCACCATGTACCCATCCTCTGATGGCTACTTCCAGCAGGATAATGCACCATGTCACAAAGCTCGAATCATTTCAAATTGGTTTCTTGAACATGACAATGAGTTCACTGTACTACAATGGTACCCACAGTCACCAGATCTCAACCCAATACAGCATCTTTGGGATGTGGTGGAACGGGAGCTTCGTGCCCTGGATGTGCATCCCACAAATCTCCATCAACTGCAAGATGCTATCCTATCAATATGGGCCAACATTTCTAAAGAATGCTTTCAGCACCTTGTTGAATCAATGTCACGTAGAATTAAGGCAGTTCTGAAGGCGAAAGGGGGTCAAACACCGTATTAGTATGGTGTTCCTAATAATCCTTTAGGTGAGTGTATACTACTAACTACATACCCATTTCTCAATGTCTGTTGTCATGCCATACCAATAGAACATTGAACACATGGCAGTTCGAGTTTTCATAATACCAGTGTGTCCTCCAATTGGTGAGGCATGAAATTCCTTAAAAAGATGCATGGCCTCCTCCTTTGTCTTGATTACTCTTCGTCGACTTGCACCCTTGCAACTTGCATCGAAGAATAGTTTCCCATCTTTATAAAATTAATTAAAATATTATTATACTAATAGCATTGTGATCATCATAGCAATTAATTTTGAATGTTAAATACTTACCATGAATACTGAATTTAGAAGAGTATTTTCTAAGGCTTTGCCTTTGTCCTTTATTCAGTGCTGGTGGGTATGACGCCTTAGAAAGGTAATCGAAAATCTCCTCCCACTTTTTCTCCATGGTTGTGGATATGCACTACAAATAAACAATTTTAGTGATGAAAAGTAATTTTAAAGTTAAACATTAATTGACAAATCAACTAACTGGATACTATTGAGGGCTTGTAAATGACCTTACTCCACTTACAAGAAATAACTACAGAAAACTGCAGAATAACTACGCTTTCATAAAGTACAGCTGCCTTTTTTAAACGAACTACACTGCAACTTAAGTTATACAACAGATGCACTAACAATATGCAATTACCATTACGGAGCCCACCTGGGTCCAGGTGAGAAATAAAATTAATCCGTGCTCACGGTTTACAAATCGTTCCCACGGTTTTGTAATCCGTGCCCTACTTGTTGTGCTAACTGATTTTCCTTTGTACTAGTTTTTACAGTACTGGGATTAGTGCTACAATTTAAAGTAAGCGTAAAGCTCTGGAATGTTAACACTGTGACTTTGACGGAGATTACATACACATGACATGTGCATGTACAGTCGTGCAGTAAATGGAAGTTTCCAGAGACAGTTTGTCTAACATGAAAACCTGGGAAGCTAACGGTAACTGTGTGGGTAAGGGTTTCTAAAACGTGCGCACGGATTGCTAAATCGTGCACGGGAACGTATTTATAAACCGTGTGAACGGATTATGAATTCATTTCTCACCTGGACCCAGGCGAGCTCCGTAATTGCTCACCTTCAATCAGTGGTATGCTAAATTTATGCAATCACGCAGAATAAAGCCTATTTCTGTTGTACGCATGCGCATTTGTGTTGAACGCATGCGCATTAACCCAGGGTATGCCATTCTGGTAGGTATGTTGTTCTGCCAGAACACCTGTTTGTAACTCGTCAATGTGCACAAGTTGACGCTCAAGCAAAAGACCCGATTTTTCCTAATGATGTTTCCTTTAAAATTCCTTGTGTAAATCGCCGCTTGTAAGTCGTCAAATTCCCTTAGTCGTCACCTAAATCCCGGTCCCGAACAACACAAATGAATGGATTTTCCTACCTGTAAATCGACACCCCAATCGCTGCATTCCTGCCGCCTGCTTCACCACGGCAATGTAGAAACGGGGAATCCCCACATATCGCACTAGTCGCTCCCTGGATGCCGAGGCCGTGATGAGTAGAGGTATGGTGTTATATTTACTAGTCGGCAAAACGGCGAGATAGACATAAGTCGCCAAAGTGTCGACTTAGGTGTATCTCGTCAATTCTCTAAGTCGTCATTTTTAAGCTGGTCCCGCGGGTGTCGACTTAGACCGGTTTTACTGTATTTTAATCTTTATCGTACCACCACTTCTCACAAGTTGCCAGTACTCTGCTACTCAGAGACAAGCATCACGCGAGAGTGGTGGGGCAGCGCGCGCAGTACCGACATTGTTGTTGAGGCGCTTCCGCCGCCGTTCTCACGGTCAATATAGTAGCGATACTTTTATTTCTCCACTTCGAACACTGCTTAAATACAGATCACCATATTAAACGCCAGTCCAACTGATGCTTCCGGTTATTAGCACAGCACACAAAGCGCGCTGTAGACATGCAGCAGACCGCTGTATCGATGCACTCGTGTTGTGTTTTTTTCTTCCCCGCCAATCAGGAGTCAGGAGCCGCTTGTGTAGATCTTCAGATTCAGCCTTTATTGCCACAGTGAGGTTACAGCCAAGGCTGAGCACCCTGCAGTAGTGTGTCCAATACTGTTTTACACTAATTTTTATACATTTTCTTATCGTGTAACAATATCTCGTCACTTAAGCATCATCATTTCTTCAACCATTCACCATCGTTGTTTTCTCCCTTGATCCACACCCCTAGATGATGTTTGTCAATCATCTCTTTTACTATTTGGTCCCTCGGCTGAACATAATGGTGGCATGACCATCTCTAGTTGTGTTTTTTTAAATACCCAGCTGTGAATTTTTGCGAATCCCTTCCTTCAGTAGCAAACCTTGCATCGGTCTTTGTCAGGCACGTGTCTGCACTGTCTAACACGCCCCCATTCTCCATTTTGAGTGTATTGCGGATGTAAACACATTTGCTTAATATTTCATATTCAGTGTTTTTCTCTCCACAAAAATGTAATGTTTTATGTAATCAGTTATAGCCAATTTTCATTACTAAAACACACTAGTAATGTAGGTGTTTAAGAAAGGAAGAGTTAAGAACACCACAAAAATGCCATTGCATGGACATAACTTTATTGATCATATTTACATTCTCTATGCACTATGAAGTGCTAAATAATATTCCATACTCACATAAAATGAATATTGATTTCCACCTCATATCGGCGAGATGAATATTTTTAAAAATATTTAGCATAAACAAAAAATTTAGAAAGCCACATGAGATGAACAGGCGAGCCATAACTTAAACTAAACTAGAAGTAAAATTCATATCCCTAGCTAGTTTTGCGTTAGTCTACCATATTAACATAAACTAGCAGTGCCAGAAATCGTTCATTTAACCACATATACTACCATATACTAACCAGACGTATGGTCAATGTTTATGTTATCGCTCGTGTATTTAAAGCTTACTCTCATATGTATCATAAGGTAATGACAAACCTGCAAATCCAGCATTTGTTTTTCTGACATCCCGGCACGCCTCCTCTTTACCCCGACTTGCAGAACTGCCGTAAACGTGGAAATGAGTTGCGTTGTGAATCTGCGGTCGATTACTTTTTCTCAAAGACCCGGATGTGTGTCATACTAGTTTGAAACTGAATTTGTGAACTGAATTTTTCAAGGTAGGATAAATGCTATTTCAAGTTACTGGAATTCAGATTCAAACTATTAAATTCAGATTCAGTTTTGTAATGCGGATAACTGCAGATTCAAATATACAAAATTCATATTCAGTTTCTAGTGGCACAAATGTCAGCCCATAACCCCAGCCTTTCGTGTCCCTAAAGTAAACAAGACCGTTCTGGATACAAAATTTATGCAGCGGACCCTCATCAGAGACTTGTTCAGGACCTAAAGAATCCATCACCCTTTTGGTGAATGGGTCCTCAGCCTGGTGTCTCCTCAGCTGATCTTTGTCCTCCAAACAGACAAGAGGCTGAACCCTCAGGCTCAGTGCACCTAAAATGGCATGGTCCTTGTAAAGGTCTGTGCACTCCACCTCTGGCAAGGGGTTGCATCTGGAACACTATTCACCCTTCCTGGTTTGTGCACAATAGTGAAGTCAAACTCCTGGAGTTGCAGACATCATTTTGCTAAGCGACCTGTTGGGTCAGGCCGAGACATCAGCCACTGGAGGCCGTTATGGTCAGAGTACACTGTAATGCGTGACCCCTCCACAAAAGGTCAATAATGTTCCAGTGCCCACACAACAGCCAAACACTCCTTCTCCGAGGTCGAGTATTTCCTTTCCGCTGCATGCAGCGTGCGGCTTGCAAAAGCCACTGCAACTTCTCTACCGTCTTGGTCATGTTGCATAAGCGCTGCTCCAAGACCGGTATTACATGCATCCGCATGAAGAAAGAACGGCTTACCGAAATCCGGAAAAACCAACACAGGGGAGGAAGTGAGTCGAGACTTTAATTCTCCAAATGCTCCCTGGCAAGATTCATCCCACTCAAAGTCAACCCTATCCCTGGTCAGGGTAATCAAGGGCTCTGCCAACCTAGCAAACTGGCTGATAAATCGCCTGTAGTAACCAACTAAGCCAAGAAACTGCCGAACATGGCTAACTGAGGTAGGGGTGGGAAAATCTATTATGACCCTCACCTTTTCAGGGTTTGGACACAACCCATCCCGCGACACCTTGTACCCCAAGAAATCCAAATCGTCCCTCAAAAACTGGCATTTCTCCGCTTTGAGTTGGAGTCCTGCCTCACGCAGGCGAGCGAATACCTCCCGAAGGTCTCTAAGATGTTCCTCCAGTGATGGAGAGACCACCACAATGTCGTCGAGGTAGACTGCACAAATCCTATATACCAGGCCAGCCAAAACAGACTGCATCAGCCTCTGAAAGGTGGCTGGTGCATTGCAGAGGCCAAAAGCCAAGACTTTAAACTGGTATACCCCACAGTGTGAGTCTTAGCACGGGAGCCAGGGGCCACTGCCACCTGCCACTACCCTCTGGACAGGTCAAGGGTTGAAATAAACTTGCCCCTCACAAGGAAATCAAGGGTCTCATCAATCCTGGGTAATGGGGAAAGAATTCTTGACAGTAATGTAATTTAGCCTTCGGTAATCCACGCAAAAGCGTGGTTCACCATCAGGTTTCTTCACAATCACCACCGGCAATGCCCAGGGACTAGAACAAGGCTCAATGACATCATCCTTCATCATTTTCTCAATCTGTTGCTCAATAACCGCTCGCTTAGCTGGTGATGCCCGATATTGTGGGAGATTGATAGGCTTTTCATCGGTCATCTCAATGACATGTTCTACCAAATCAGTATCAGAACAGGTCAGCAAACTCCTGCACAAGATCCACAATCTCATCTCTACTGGCACCAGGAAGGTTTTCACCTAACATTTCCGGGAGGGAAAACTTTGAAGACAGGGTCGCAATTACAGACCTTTTTAACGTCTCAGCACTAATCAAATCTTCCATCTCCACAGCTGATGCTTCCTCCACTGCGCTAGGTATATGCGCCCCGTTACCAAAAATGAGTGAGCAAGATAGCACATGGATGCTTAGTGATGCCCTTATCATAAAATCCATACATAGTATGAAAGGAGACATCAAGCCCGAAATAACCACAAAGCGGTGGTAGAAAGCTTTACCCCTAAAGGAAAAGGAGATCCACAGAAATCCCTTAGGGGTACATGGTGCAGAATCAGCCAAAGTCAACGGAGGACCAGTCCACAGATGTAATTTCCGACCCAGGTCACAGTGGACGAGGACGCTGGGGTGAACAGTTGAAACAGATGCACCTGTGTCAAGCATTGCCTGCATCCAGTGTCCTTCCACGCTCACCGCCATCAGTAATGGAATATTCCATGTCACTGTAGAGTAGTTGTCAGGGATTTCAGGGAGCCAGACTGAATTAACGGACGCATTTGGCTTCTGAGGAACCGGTTTACCAAATCTCCAACTGCGAGTGCTATGGCGATGAGCAGGTGTCGGGTCCGTATTACCAGAAGCTTCTCCACCCTCCTCCCCTGGAATACCGTGACCTAGTGGGTTGGGAAAACCGGACATGGCGTTGCAGTTAGGACATGTGTGATTAGTTACCCCTGGAAGGGCACAGCCAAAGCAGTGGACTGCAGCCTTCGTTACACCACGCCCTTCAGCTTTAGGTCTCATCGACAAGATAGACCCCAAGGTAGCATGGAGCTCATGTGCCTTGAGGAGAAGGTCAGTGACTGAAGACACCTGTGCCCCATAAAGTGCCACCCTGTAATGGTCTGAGGCATGTCTCCGGATGATTTCCAGCTTTTCGGCCTCTGGTGGAGGGGAACGCAACCGTCTAAATTCTCCCACCATCCAAGCCACAAAGGTAGGCAGAGCCTCACCAGGTTGCTGCACCCTGTCTAGGATACCTCTCAAAATACGCTCCTAGTTATCGGCAGGTAAGAACGTTAACCTAAACATGTCCTTAAAATGTTCCCAGGATCGCCAGAGTGGTGCCATAGCGGAAAACCAAGCTGTCACTTCCTTTCCTAAGTACCTAGGCAGCTCTGCAAGGATTTGGCTATCTGATAACTGCAGTGAGTCCTTGTAGACCATCACAGACGCAAGCCACTCCTCGGGCTGCACT